GGGGGGGGGGGGGGGAGAGATGCTGAGGCTGCTCAGTTTGGGGAGGCTGCGTGCAGCCCAAGAATGATGTTCCTTCGTTCCACTGCAGCCCTTGGTCTCTGGAAACCCAACGATCCAGAGAGAGAACGGAAAGCACTGGTTCTGCCAACAGCCATAAGGAAAAAGTGCAAAGGAAGGACTGCAAATGCTGAAGGAACAACACATCAATATAGTGTTGTAGTGGTATTTGGCTGACAAAATGTGAATTAGCTCAACCTAAGCTAGGAGGGAGGAAGATTAAGACAGGGAGACGTAAGAGAGATGGCAACATGAAAGCAGGATCAATTAGGGAAAAAGTCTAAGTGGCACTAGCCAGCAGGGGGCAAAACACCTATTTACTGTGCAAGAGAACTTCCCAAGCCTGCAGTGTTTGACTGGCACCTAAAAGTCTGCCCCCTCTCCCTGCCGTCGTGCCAAACATGAAAGGGAAGAGGACAGAGGTAGGCCGCTGGATTGAGGGGCAAGAGATTGAGAGATCAGGCTGGGGGGCAAAGACATAAAAAGTGTAGCCCAGGGACTGAAGGGCTGGGCTGGAAACAGGGAAAACCCCATTTCAAATCCTCCACTGCTGCACGGCTCTGAGTCACAGTCACTCAGCTTAATGTGGGGCAGGGGCAGGGGAGAGAGTGGGAACATGACCCTGAACTCATGAACAAACAGAGCAGCTTACCCAAGCCATAAGAAAAAAACAACCACCGCAGCATCATTTACACGCTGCAGCCCAATTTTCTTCTAATAGCCTAAATTCTTCTTGCAAACAGCTATTTATACTTTTGACATCATGCAGGTAGAGCATCTCGACCAGCAACATTCCAGACCCCAAAGAAGAATTTTATTCATGGGCTGGGCTAGAAACAAAAAGAGAAATTAAAAGGTTCCACCTAAACCATTCTTTAACAATATACCAGGGACAGAGCTCTTCGGCTCCTGGAGAGCAAGGGCTGCGTTCTCCTTGAGGATCAGCAGCCTCAGTTCCGTGGCTGACCTCTCACTTGTCATGCCAATCAGATGGCGTGTATTTCCCCTCCTTAATCATGACCTCCCTCTGCTTCAAGATGGCTCGCATACGCTGCATCTACGAAGGGAAAGGAGCAGAAAAGACGGGTGAGACCGCTTTCCGAATTAAGCCTACAGCCAGAAGTGGGAACATGTGCAAAAATCACTGTTCCCATCACAAAAGAACTCTGGTTCCTTTTCAGATCATATAAATCTTTCGTCTTTCACAGAGGAACTCAACTTTGCGGCAATTTAATACCACCTCCCAAACAGAAACTAACAATCTTTTTTATTATCAGAGGCACACACATTGCTAATATTGGTAATAATAGTTATTATTACGGCCTTGGCAGTTGCAAAGGATATGCCCAGCAATGTCATCAGGAAGAATCTAATTCTAATTTCCTGTATCTAGCCTTGCTCACCATCTCCCATTGGTGACTCAAGATCACACACAGGCCTGGTTGCGCTTTGCCCTGAGCTAAACTTTTGAAGGGACTGTTTCTTAGACAAACTATAATTTGTTTGGGTCGCACAATATGCTAAAATATAGTTTTACCAATTGCAGTTGCTATATACACTAATACTCAAAGTTCAAATCACTCCCCCTTCGACTTAGCACAATGAGTGAACAGTTCCCTAACTTAAAAGTAGACCCCAGTAACATGAATGCCTGGGAAAAGAACTATCTCATATTTATTTCCCCCTGCCCGCACCAGCAAGTTGTATTCCCTGAGAACGACTGCAAGAACTTCCAACAGGAGTTCAGCATTCCAGCCATTCCCATCTCACCATTTTGCGCCTGGTCATGCACTCCTCCAGGTCTTCAGACTCCAGCCTGCACTCCTCCTTGGCACGTGTCAACCCAATGCCTGCCGAACACTCCAGCCACTCCTTCTCAAACGTGTGGCACAGGCTGGCCTGCTGGAAGGGCTGCTTGCTACTCAGGCGGAGCATCCATCTGTCTAGGTTAAATCCCAACTGGTTTTGGAGATCAAGAACTGGCATGGCTGAAAGGCGGAAGAGAAAGGTAAGGGGCAAGATGAGTGACTGAAGGAATTAAGTCCCTGGCCAGGAACACAGGATGGGCTGGAGTGGGAGGGAGCCTCTGGGGTGGAAGCGCTTGACCAAGGAACAGAAGGGGAGGATTTCAAGGGCAAAAAGCCTCATTTGCATGTGCAAAGACAGGAATCAATCATCTTAGGCACTGGAGGAATAAAAATCTACTTTCTCACAATTTTATTTACTCCACTCCAAACATTAAAAATCCTGCTCACGAGTTCTAATGTCTGCTCATGACAGCTTATATCCAGATAAAATCATGCCAGCTGTTGATAACTTGAATAAAGTACAAGTATACATCTACATTACACAAATATACCAAATGCTGCACTGATTATATGCCACCAACTCAGTGTCGACTCTAAGCAATCAGATAGATACTTTTCTCCACTGTGATCTGTCCCTAACCTGGTCCTTTAGGTCTTCCAATGGTGCACTCATCATGGCTGTACCTGAGTCCATCCACCTTGCTGCTAGTCATCCTCCTTCTCTTTCTTTCCACCTTTCCCAGCATTAAAGCTTTCCAGAGAGCTAGGTCTTTCAAAGTAGGTGTCCAAAGTCAGGTAATTTGAGTCCAAGTTGTCCAAAATTGGATAACTGGATATGGCCAATTATTCAAATAATAATTGGATGTGCCCAATTATCTAAATGTGTCCAAAGTTGGATAATTTGACCCTGATCATTTGTGCCTTGAGTAAGACCTCTGGTTGATTGTTCTGTGATCCATTTCTTGGCTATCCATGGTATTCTCAGGAATCTTCTCCAACACCAAAGTTCAAAAGCATAAGAAAGCATCTTTCTTGCTTCTTCAAACTTTCGCATCCTAGAGGGTCACAGAGAAAACCATTGCCTGCACAGTTCTGGTCTTTGTAGGCACAGGGTCATCCCAGCACCTGAATCTCTTTTCCAAGGCCTTCACGGCTGCTCCACCTGGCTGCTCCGTGGCCTATTTTTTGACTGCCTGTTCCTTTACTGTTGATGGTTGATTTAGAGGCAGACGTTCTCCACCACTTCCATATCTTCATTGCCAATTCTAAGGCTGCTTGTTCTTACCTGTTGTCATTAGTTTGTTCTTCTTTATATTTAATTTTAGTCCCATTTTTTTCACTTTGTTCCTTAACTTTTATTAGTAGAGCTTGCAGATCCTCTGCGTTTTCAGCTATCAGGGCAGTGGCATCAGCATTTGTTGTTGTTCAGTCGTTAAGTCGTGTCCGACTCTTCGTGAC